TGACATCAATAGGGATAGTAATGCATAATCTCAATTTCTTCATTGATGACATTGTACAGATTCCTTACTTAATTTCATACACAAACAATGTCGTCGATGATGTCAGCGGTGTTGCAGATGTCTAAAAGGAGTTTATATTAGTTTTCCAACGAATAGTGCGAATCCAGTACAGTACCACGTTGTTGGCTAGAGGTACAAGACAAAACAGTTAAATTTTTTCTTGATTGCAGTAACAATTTATTTTGGACTACAAGTCGGAAAAGCGAAATTGTTACACACTGCGACGTAATACATACTTACACACTAGTAAGGAGACTTTTTAGATTTGTTGAAAGAGAAAAAATGCTTGAGCCTTCCCAACACTACTTGTTTTCATTTAACGACATAGCCACCGATAGATTTTTGAGGAGTGAATCAAATGCAAAAGGTAGCTGTAAGAACTAGATCCTAGGTGAATTTGTGTTACCTAGAGCAGTTCAAACTATCGTCATGAGACTTTTCTTGTACATGTTTTCATTCCTCATTTGCTTGCATGCTCGTAGCTGAGCCTTCAGCAAACAATAAATTTTGCAGGGTCAATTTTTGAAGGAACAGGACTCTTACATATATGATCAACCCGAAATCGCTCTTATTTTTGCTCTATGTGTTTACCAAATCGGTCCCTTTTTTTGTCGGAAGCCGACTTCTTGTAGCCTGTTGACGCTCGCAATTTGAGAATCGTTGAGATAACACAATTACTACATTGCTAATAAGCTTCCGTGGTTACGATAACGCAGTTCCGTAAACGAGTGAACGATAAGCAGTGACGATTTTTGATGAGACGCGGTTACTCCCGTAGTCATCAAACTATAGAACTGGTATGGTGTAAACGATCTTATCATGGGGAAGTCCTAGCTGAAAACTGATGGACGATTTGAGAAATTTTGCCTTCGTGCTACCCATTCAGCCTTCTCCAAGATACGAATTGAACTATTTGTACACACGGATTTCACAACCAAGAAAGAGGAGATAGTATTATGCCGTCGAACATTAATCTAACCTGATACATACATCTTGAACATAAGAGTGTGAGCTGAATCATCTTCGTAGCCTGACTTTTTCACCTTATTAGGACGCAACATAAGTTTCGTTACACTTGCAAGAAAAAATCCTTATGGCTTTTTCAAAAGATTTTCCTAATTTTCCGATTGAGTGAAGGGTTGCAGTTTCACAATATATACTTGTCACACATGAAAAATGCGATTTTTGAATTTCTCAACAAATTTTGATTGTGAGGTGTGAGCCTAAACCTTCAAACTGCCTCTAAATTACTGCTGTGTCCCCGGAAATCCATGAAAATTCTCATAGAATAAAAAGTAGAATGGGAGGATTTTTAAAATTCCTGGAGTTTTTGAGGAAAAATGAAAAAAGTGTCGCGAAACTTGTGTTACACCTAGTATTTATCTGGTGTCCGATATAGGCATACACGGGCACTTTTTGTTCGAAGATTATAAACAGCCCAACAGAATTTGAAAAGTATCTGAAGGAAGACATAAAAATCAAGAAAACTATTACCATTATGCTTGCGCTTGAGAAGACTATTTCCGCTTTGTAAGGTTTGAAGTGGTGTGAAAGTTCAGTCAGCTGGCCACCTCAATAGCCGTACATGCTTCTACTTGAATTCACTGTAAAGTTGCAATCATTTTCTTGTCCTTTTAGACTGAAGCTCACAAGGG